CCCCATTTGGCACGGCTCCACTTCATCCATGAAGCCCTTTTTTGGGGTTTTAGCTCCATGAACAGCTATATGGGTAGAGCTGTAGCTGTTTTGATAAATCGTTTGGCAAAACAGCTTCACATATAGTTTTTCTTAAAATATGCTCTCAGAGAACGCCATGTAGAATGAGGTGAAGCCAAGAGAAGCCACTATTTTTGGCTCCTTCCCACCCCAAAGCTCTGTGAGAGCACGTTTTTAGAGGCTTCATTGGTGGAGCCGTTTTATTTTACCCCATTTGGCATAAAACGGCTCCGAGCGGCTCCTGAAGCCGCTAGAGAAGCCCTGCCAAATGGGGCAACATGACCATGCAGGATTTTTAGTCGCAACCTTGACCTTTCTCTTGGCTCCGCTTGCCAGGCCAATGTGGCACACACACTACACGACTTGGAACCTCAGAAGGCTAATACACCCTAATTATGCACAACAACTGTCCTCTTGGTTCCGCTTGCCAGGCCAATGTGGCGCACACACTACATGACTTGAAACCTCAAAAGGCTCTTCTCCCTCCCTCTCACTATTAGAGTCTGATACCCCATAATTATGCACAACAACTGTAACGCCCCAGAGTCCAAACGGTTCAGATCCACTCTACACGCAGAGTGAACCACAGCTACCACCATTCCACTTATGCTTTTGTCCTCGCTTCGCGTAAAAGAATTAACCCGAGGATGGTGGGATGGACTCCTGAAGCATTATATGTTAGTCTATCCCACTTTTAACAACTAAGGTTGGACTAAACTATGATAGAACCATTCAATTTATAAGAGTATAAGTACAATGATAGCCCGCAAGCGATCGCACTATCATACTTGAGCCCATATAAACCCGGTAGTCCGTCGAGTACCACGATAGGTCTCGATTCATCACCAACATACAACCAAGATCGTACATGTACATGATTCAACATACATGCCATATGTTACATAAGGTTCACAAATACATTGCCATACATCAAAGTGCGATTACAATTATTACAACCAAAGTTCCAAATACAGTAGTAGTAGCGGAAGCAAAGTAGTTTTAAAACCAACATCTCACACCATTGTTTAATATAGGCCAGTTCATGATCACCACCCACAAAAGCATCACATATAAGATATATAAGTAGAAGCGCTTTGCCGGGCCTACTCCTCGTCCACAGCGGGACAGAAGCAATTCTTACAATAGCCATGAAAGACTGTGTTATCTGCAACAAGTGGGAAATAAACCCTGAGTACAAGAAGGTACTCATTATAAACCAAAAATAAAGTGACTCTAAGGATCATGCAAGGCTTTATAAGTGGAGCTAGCTTGATACCATTTTGCATAAAAAGCCACTAATTCAGCTATACATTTTATAATTCGGTCATCATGTTAATTATAGCTATTCATCTCTGGATTAGCAACTAACATGTGCCAAACATGTGGTATATCATTTAGTAGCATAACAATAGTAACCATAGCCGGTGTAAGATTTTCATATTCATTAGAACCATCATATTTCATAATCCAATTACTACGATGAAGGGGCTCTGTCAAGTTTCTCACTATCCGGGAGAGACGGCGATTCAAATCGATTGCAACCAGCTAGGAGTTTATTCCTAACACAAACCTAGACATACCTACGCCAAGGTAGTTTTAGGTCACCTTTGGTACAACTCAAGTCCAATTCGCGGGTTCGATCAGTCGCCGCACAATCAGGGACACTACCGGATGCTAGGTCGATTAGGACTCTAACCTGCCCTTGGCCTCACACTGGCTCCCCGCACATCCTTACTACCTCCACTATGCGCACTCTAACAGAACAAGGCCCATGACTGAGTTGAGCTACTCGGCTTCACGGTTGGAACAAGTTATTCAGTCAGCTAAGTGAGAGGCATGCATTTAAAATGACAAGAGGGCCTCCAACGATGCGATCCTTAATCGACACAAACGAAATCACATGAGTCAACCTACACATAGACTCCGTTCGGCCTCTAGTTACATTACCTCATGGTTCTGTTCCACGATAGCAAATATAGCCAACCATGCTCTGGTATCCACCTATATCTCACAGGTGACAGGAAATCATCCAACTTCTACCGGTCTAAACATTGCTAAATTGCTAAGCATATATTCGATCCTGTACCTACATAGGGTTCAAGGTATATTTCTGGATAAGGTAGTTCTATGCATCAAGTTTTTTCAACCAACTCTTATAACCTAATGCATCGAACATAAAGGACTCAAGTGATATTTGTAAAAACATAGGAGGCTTAGAATGCTTCGGGGCTTGCCTAGGATCTGACACAAGTTAGTTCAGTTAGCTTGCATCGCCTTGGTGATGTCTCTGGTCTTAGCACTTGCGTAGTCCTTCTATCTTCGGGATAGGTCTGTTGGGAGTATGCCCTAGAGATAATCATAGAGATGATTATATTGCCTTGTATCCATGATATATTATGAGTTCATTGAATTTCCATTAAAGACAACCTGTATCGATTAGCAATTATGTGAATTGTTTGTGAAACTCTTTTACTTGTATGGTTATTCTAATGTTGTCCCTGGTCAGAGTTCGTGTGAGGACACACTTCAATAATGGATCAGCACATTATTAGTTGATGACTATGTTTCACAAGTCATAGACATGGAGATGTCAAACTAATAATGTGGGCACATGTATGACATGGGGCTAGACTGACCCAACGTGAGATGTTGTTATTATCTCTATTCACATCATGTACGTTATGTCCTTAGACCTGAGATTGTTGTATGTATTCAAGATGTGAAATGACCTACTCAGGGACTATCAAACGCTACTCCGTAACAGGGTAGTTATAAAGGTGGTTTTCGTGTTTGTCGGGAAACATGCTTTGAGACATAGACAATCAAGATGGAATTTGCCCCTCTCTATATGAGAGAGATATCACTAGATCACTCTAATGATTAGATCAAGAAATGCATGGCCGTGCTTGGGTTAAGTGTTAACCTATGAGTTGGACCAAATATCATGAGGCAAGGGAATAACAAGTATGTGGTTTTGTGGTGGTTCGTCTGATATGATCTTTGCATACGCATAGGAGTTGACATGCCTTGCTAGAGGCTGCTATCAACTAATGGTTGAGTAGGAGTACTCGGGCCATGTCTATGTGTGCGTGAACCCATAGGGTCGCACGCTTAAGGGGCTGGAAGCATAATTCGGATTGGATCTGAGTTAGACAAGGATTAGGGTTACTAATGGGCCTCCAACTCGGGAGCTCATTAGGGACGCCAATAAATAAGTGGGGTGGGCAATGGGGCTAGGTATCCCCACGCCTTTTGGTAGCCGTCGCTGCCCATCCTACACCCGCGCCTGCTACTCCTCGTGGACCTAGCAGTTAGGAGGCGCGACGCTTCCTCCCTGTATGTGTGGATACCTCAGAGGTGCTACATCTGGAGCACAAGGACGAACCGCACGAAGGAAAGGACGTACGGACGACCTTGCAACTGCACGGCACTGCTGCGACGCGTACGACTACATCGTGTCGCTTCCACTGCACCTGCGCGTCTAGTGGTAATCCCGTGATATATAACTAGCAGTAGATCCTAGTTTATGAGGTCAAAATTTTTGTTTTCCGGCTAGCGTAGCATCCTCATAACCCTACAGTGGTATCAGAGCCGTTACTGCGTTGTTATAGGTTCGGATGAGTGCGTATGGAGATATGTGTGGTTGTAGATGAGTCTCTGATCATGGTTCGTGATTTTACCGTGTTGGTCTTGTAACGATCTACTCGTACCGGTCGGAATTCTGCCATTCGAGTTAAGTGATACATGTAAATCCAGTCATGGCAAGATGGAGATCAATCAGATTGATCGAATCGAACCTAGGTCAAGTGCCGAGCGCATGTGATGCGCAGCGGTGATAGAACCGGGCGCCGGGGTGCAAGAAAAAGTGCTATTCGGTAAAATAGCCATAACTTTTGCATACGACCTCGGATTGAGATGAACTTTATATGAAAATTATAGAGAAAAAAATTTTACATCCGATTCTAACCGCCTATGGCGGTTTCGCTGAAATTAGATTTGCGAAAAACGGCCAGGAAGATGGTGTTTTCGGCATTTTAAGATTAGACGTCGGAATTGGTTAACTCTGTTTTGCAGGAACTTATGACTGGTATAGCCCTTATGTGTATGTGATGCATGTGTGTAATTAATTCATGGCTTGCATGTCGTGAGCATGACAATATGGTTGGAGCCACAAAGATATTGTCAATTTGATGTAATGGCCTGCGTGCCAAACTATGATGATCCTATCCGCGACTATGTAATTTTCTTCACTGCCTTGCGTTAGTGATAGCTAGTCTTGGTGGATTCATCACTGAAGGATGACATACATGGATTATGGAGATGGAGATCATCATGAGGAATAGTTCGATGGAGATGGAGATCCCCAAAGGAACAATGGGCTATACCATGTCATATGTGTGTTAATGCTGTTCTTATTATGTTCTACTTTCACGTGCGATAATGTTTTTGTCTACATGCGATGGTGAAGTAGAACGATCCCTCGGCAATGTTTAAGTTAAAATGCTTCCCCAAACCTTGCACTGTCATGTGTCTTGTACAATCGGTGGTGGGTCTATGAAATTAGGGTGCCACTTATTTTACTTGACTAGACAGGTTCATATCGGATACTTACAGCAGAAGGGTTGGTTACTTGAACAAGGTCATCCTAACGGTTAGGGACCTTGGAGCATGAGTAGTTGGGCACCAAAGCATAGAGATGCTACCCAACAACAAGAGTCATATGTGATATGATTAGCAAAGAGTTGCTTACCAATCTACCATGTCTTCTAGCGGTGATGCTAAAGCTCACTAGTAGACTTGTTAGTTGTGGGTCTTGAATCACTAAGTTTAAAGAGAGGGATATTGATTTTAGTGGGAGTAGATTCTATTAAAGGTTTAATATTGTTTACTCTGTCTTGGATACATTGTCTTAGTATTTTGCATTACTTTGTTGTAGATAAATGGTGCCTAGCAATCAACCATTTACTTTGCGTTCAATTCTTGAGAAAGATAAGTTGAATGAAACAAACTATGCGGATTGGATCTACAACCTGAGAATTGTTCTCAGGGCTGAGAAAAAGGAAGAAATTCTAGACACCCCATTACCACAAGAGCCTGCTGTAGAGAAAAACGCTTACAAGAGAGCATGTGATGCTGATCTTGAAGTGAGTTGCCTTATGCTTGCTTGTATAGAACCAGATCTGCAGTTGTTGTTTGACAATAACCATGCAGCGCATGATATGATCGTGGCGCTCAATGATATGTTCTAGACTCAACCCAGGACTGAAAGGTTCAATGTCTCAAAGGCTTTTGCTGAAACCAAGCTAGCAGAGGGCGCAGCAGTTGGGCCACATGTGATCAAAATGGTTGGTTACACTCAGAGGTTGGAGAAGCTAGGCTTCCCAATTGGCCCTGAATTAGCTACTGATTTTATTCTCATGTCTCTTCCGCCCAGCTATGGAAATTTCGTCGCGAACTACCATATGCATGGGGCGGAGAAGGGCTTGAATGAATTATGTGGTATGCTTAAAACAACAGAGGCTGATATCAAGAAAGGTGCTGGCAGTAGCCATGTGATGGCGGTCCAAAACAAGCCTAAGTTTAAGAAGAAGGGCAATTCTTGGAAGAAGAAAAAGGGCAAGGCTAAAGATGAGATCTCTAAGCCAAACCCACCTGCGCCAAAGGCTGGACCAACTGCTGATGCTGAGTGCTTTCATTGTCATGGGAAAGGTCACTGGAAGAGGAACTGCAAGCTGTACCTGGAATCCATAAAGGATCGCGGCAGTAAAGGTACTCCCGCAGCTTGTACACTTGTTGTTTATATTACGGACATTTTCCTTGCTAATTCTTATATTAATTCTTGGGTATTTGATACCGGATCGGTTGCTCATATTTGCAATACGATGCAGGGAATGATAAGAAGTAGAAGCATGGAAAAGGGAGAAGTTGATTTTCGCGTGGGCAATAATGCAAGAGTTGCTGCGTTGAACGTCAGGACGATGCAACTCCACCTCCCGTCAGGATTTATTATGGAGTTGAATAATTGTTATTTTGTTCCTAGTTTAAGTCAAAACATTGTGTCACCTTCATGTTTGATGAAGGATGGTTATTCATTTGCGAGTAAAGACAATGGTTGTGTGATCTTTAAAAATGGCATGTTTGTGGCTTCTGCATCCATTGTGAATGGGTTATTTATTTTAAATCTTGAAGATGCTCCTGTCTATAATATAAGTGCTAAAAGGCCTCGGCTTAATGAGTTAAGTCCCACCTATATGTGGCATTGTCGTTTAGGTCATATAAGTGAGAATCGCATGAAGAGGCTCCATTCTGATGGGCTTTTAACTTCGTTTGATTTTGAGTCATACGAGACATGTGAGGCTTGCCTGCTGGGCAAGATGACCAAGACGCCTTTCATAGGTTTTCCTGAGAGGGCGACAGACTTGCTGGAACTCATACATACTGATGTGTGCGGACCAATGAGTACGACAACAAGAGGCAGATTCCAATACTTCATAACCTTCACTGATGACTTTAGTAGATATGGCTATGTCTACTTAATGAGACATAAGTCTGAGACATTTGAAAAGTTCAAGGAGTTTCAGAGTGAAGTAGAGAATCAACGTGGCAAGAAAATTAAGGCTTTGTGATTTGATCATGGAGGCGAATATTTGAGCCACGAGTTTAGCAATCATCTAAAGAGTTGCGGAATTGTTCCACAGCTTACGCCACCTGGAACACCTCAGAGAAATGGAATGTCCGAGCAACGTAATTGGACTTTGTTGGACATGGTTTGGTCTATGATGAGCCAGTCAGACCTACCGTTATCATTTTGGGGATACGCTCTAGAAACAGCCGCTTTCACATTGAATAGGGTACCGTCTAAGTCTGTAGTTAAGACACCACATGAGATGTGGACTGGTAAGAGTCCCAGTTTGTCTTTTCTAAAAATTTGGGGTTGTGAAGTTTATGTCAAACGACTTATGACAGATAAACTAACACCCAAGTCAAACAAATGCTTTTTCGTGGGATATCCGAAGGAAACTTTAGGGTATTACTTCTACAACCGATCAGAGGGCAAATTGTTTGTTGCTCGGAATGGTGTTTTCTTAGAGAAAGAGTTTCTCAAAAGAGAGAAAAGTGGACAGAAGGTGTATCTTGAAGAAGTTCAAGATGAGCCAGTTAGGAAGGACTCTATGAGTGATGCTAATGTAGCAGAACAAGTTGAGATACCCATGGCAATAGAAACACTGCCACAACCACGAAGGCCAGCAAGAATTCGTGAGTTGCATGGGGATTTGTTATTGTAAGACAATGATGAACCTGTGACTTATGCGGAAGCAATGATGGACCCAGATTCTGAGAAATGGCAAAGTGCCATGAGATCCGAGATAGATTCCATGGGAAACAATCAAGTTTGGAACTTGGTTGACCCGCCTGATGGGGTTAGACCCATAGAGTGCAAATGGATCTATAAAAAGAAAAAGGATATGGATGGAAACATTCACATCTATAAAGCTCAACTTGTTGCAAAGGGTTTTCAGCAAGTTCAAGGAATTTGCTACAACGAGACTTTCTCACTGGTAGCGATGCTTAAATCTATCCGGATCATTCTAGCAATAGCTGCTTATTTCAACTATGAGATACGGCAGATGGATGTTAAAACAGCCTTTCTAAATGGAAATTTGGATGAGGATGTGTATATGATACACCCTGAAGGTTTTGTTGATCCAAACAATGCTAGAAAAATTTGCAAGCTTCAGAAATCCATTTATGGATTAAAGCAAGCATCTCGGAGTTGGAACATTCGTTTTGATGAAGTGGTCAAAGGGTTTGGCTTCCGTCAGAATGAAGAAGAACCTTGTGTTTACAAGAAGGAAAGTGGGAGCGCTGTTGTATTTCTGATCTTATATGTGGATGACATATTATTGATTGGGAATGACATTCCTATGTTGCAATCCGTAAAGACTTCACTAAATAATAATTTTTCTATGAAGGATTTAGGAGAAGCAGCATACATTTTGGGCATCAAGATCTATAGAGATAGATCGAAGAGGCTTATAGGATTAAGCCAAGATACGTACATTGACAAGGTGTTGAAACAGTTCAACATGGAACAGTCCAACAAAGGGTTCTTTCCTATGTCACATGGTATGTGCTTTAGCGATAAACAGTGTCCTTCGACAGCTGATGAGCGGAAGCGCATGAGTAAGGTTCCATACGCCTCGGCAGTTGGTTCCATCATGTACGCCATGATATGTACTCGCCTAGATGTCTCATATGCTCTAAGTGTTGCGAGCAGGTACCAAGCTGATCCAGGAGAGAGTCACTAGACACTTGTTAAAAACATTCTTAAGTACTTGAGAAGGACTAAATATGTGTTCCTAATCTATGGAGGTGAGGAGGAGCTCGTTGTAAATGGTTACACCGATGCTAGCTTCCAAACTGACACGGATGATTCACACTCTCAATTAGGTTTTGTGTTCACAATAAATGGTGGTGCTATAAGTTGGAAAAGTTCCAAGCAGGAGACGATGATCGATTCTACAACAGAGGCCGAGTACATTGCAGCCTCTAGAGCTGCGAAGGAAGGTGTTTGGATGAGGAGGTTCCTCATTGAACTTGGTGTGTTTCCGAATATGTCCAGCCCATTGAATCTACATTGTGACAACAATGGGGCAATTGCTAAGGCTAAGGAGCCAAGGAATCACCAAAAGAACAAACATGTACTGTGGAAATTTAATCTCATTCGAGAGTTTGTTAGACAAGATGAGATCAAGAAGTGCGAGATACACATAGATTTGAATGTTGCAGATCCTTTGACAAAGGCTCTTCCACAGCCTAAGCATGAGGCGCACATGAGAGCTATGGGTATTACATGTAACACCCTAGGTGTTTGGCTTCCACATTTGCACTACATTTCATGAACATGAGCATCATGCATCCATTCGTGAACTTATATCACATGAAACATGATTTCAAAACATTGCAACATATTGTATATTTCATGTGTATTGTTTCTTTTATGAAATGTAAAGTGTGCAACACTTAAGTGCAACATGTGCCACTCACTTAGTGAAACAAGGTTAGTTAGTACTCTGCAACAAGATCATGAAACATGTGAAACATGACTATGAAATAGTTGTAACATTTCATGTGTTTTCATTGTTTCAGTACACACCTTGCTTGATTCTTGTGTGACCAATGTATGGTGTGGCTAAATATCCTTCTAAGAACCTTAGTCATACTTAGAATGTCATTAGGAACAATGTTCATGTTGATCATTTTGCCTAATTAGGTTTCCAAGTCATGGTTGACCGATTTGGACCCCTAGAGCTCCTGTGTTTGACTATTTAAAAAGTGTAGCTTAGGATGTTTGCATGTCTGAGCAACCTAAAGCAAAGTTGTAGTAAATTTTATAAGGAACAAAAGTTATTTTGTGACCAACTCATGAAAATGTGCACAACATGCTCAAAAGGGTCCCACAAGCTAGTTTTGGGGTTGGATTCAACACTTAGAATTTTTCTAAGTATGAAACTGAGTTTTTAGTTTCATGAACTCAACTTTGGCATAAATTTTCTCTCTATACTTTGCGAATTAGACTTTGATCTCTAAAGGAGTTTTGTAGCTGGTACATAGGGCTTAAACTTTTGTTTAGGAAGTTTGTGCTACTGAGCTAAGGTTTAGGAGTTTGATCGACGCCAAATCTCGCCGTCAGTCGGGTGATCGCGAGTCTGATGGTTGTCTTCGTCTGGCCGAGTGGCCGACCGACCTCAGGCCGTCGCTGCAGCGTGGACGCGTCGTGGAGGCCGTACGCCGGTGCTGGCCCCACCAGTCAGGCTAGGGCATGCCTCAAGTACGCCACGATGCCACTAGCTCACCCCACCTCCATTTCCCTTTCCCTCTTCTTCACCGTGCAAGTCGAGGCGGGCTGAGGGCGACGCCATCGCCACCGTGGCCACGCCGAGCTCGCGCCTCGTCGTCGTCGCGTCTCCACTCAATTCGAACCACCCAAAGCTCCACCATAGCCTTTGTTTGCTCGTCCACCTCGCCGTTGTGCCAGTGAGTCAAGGGTGAGGCCACATTTCTTCTTCCCCGCGTCGGAGCGCCATTGCTGCCGTTGGTTCCGACGAGCTCTCACGCGCTCGCCGTCGTGTCTCACCTCTCTCTATCTCGCCCATAGCTCGGCCTTGAGCTCCTCTATCTTGTCGTCATCTCCGCGCAGCCGCTCGACTTTTGGTATGGCCGCTTGGTCGTTCTGCCGCCGTCCGAGGCTCGCCAGAGTTGGACCTCTCCGTGGCCGGCATGCCTAGGGTTCCCTAGCGTCTAGGTTTAGGGGTTCAATCGGTGCGGGAAGTCTTGGCGAACGCGGAGGTACCCTTCCCGTCGCTGGAGTCCACGCCGCCGGCGAGCTAGCGCCGCTTCCGCACCGTCCCGCGTCGTTCCCCTGTTTCTGTTTCGCTGACAGGCGAGGTCCCCTGACCAGTGGGTCCCGGTTGTCAGTGAGTCAGATCCAGAAAGATAGTTCAAAAATTCAGTGTTGACTGCTGTTTTGTAAATTTGGTAACTCCATTTATGTAGATCCAAATACTGTCATTCAAATTTTGTTAGACTCACTGTGAGGTCTAGTATTTAAGAAAAATATGTCTTGAGCACATTATGTAGAAATTTTGGGTGAATTAAATAGGAACTTGAAATGTGTTTTTGCATGCATGCAAACTTGTTTAAATCATATCTTGAGTTTCTGTGATCCAAAAATTGTCAAATTTTGTGGGTAAGCTAGTATTGCTTAGTAGAAGCTCTGGTTAAAATTTGAGAGTCATTGCATGTGTAGTTTTTGAGTTATAGATTTTCCTTTTATCATTGGATGATTCTTGTGGGAATTTTAGTAATTTATTTATGAATCCATTGACTATGAAATTTGTTGGAGAGTATCCTAGTACCCTAAGGATGAATCCATTGACTAGGAAAAATTAATGGGGCAGTTTTCATATATGTTTACTATTTCCCCTAATTAATTAAATAAATTAAGAAAGGTATTAAAAGAAATGTTTTGGTGATGGACACCCTACTTTCTGGTGTTCTTGTGATATGTGTGATATGTCAGTAAAATTGGTTTTGTCCAATTAAGTGTTTATATCATAAGTTAATAATTATTTGTTTGCATTATGTCCCTCGGGACAGATCTGGGGACTTTGGAAAGTTCCCCATGATAATTTGGTTTTCTGTGATTGTGATGAATACAAAAGTTGTAGATAATTTATGTATCTAGCTCCTGTCAAAATTTGAGGGCATTTGGCCCAGTAGTTTAGAAACTACAACTGTTTAAAGTTAGGTTCCAGTTTTGCTTACTCTCTGCCTTGTGAGGATAGAGTTCTGTTGAATTATGAATTCGAGCTGGTAAAGGTTTGAATCATGCTTGGAGGTCTAAAAATGAATTGTAGACAATTTCATAAGCTTTTCAGATTGTCTTGTTGCATGTCATTTGGAATTATAAATCTCTAGTTATGGCTAGTTTACTGCACCGCTACATAGTATTCATTTTGCTGAAATGCAAATGCTTGAGTGTATGTTGTTGCAAGGTTCTCGTTGATTATTTAGGGGTTAGCCTAACTTGAGAATATGCTTAGGTGCAGGTGCTAGGTCATTAACTGAAGATGAGCAATTATACATTAGGTTGTATAAACTTGGTAAGTAAAGTGATTTGAATAGGGCTTAAGTTGGAATATGCAAACTACAGCGAACATGTGCATTCCCCGAGCATCCCTGACATTCGTTCATGTGCATCCATGATATTTATCTTGCGCATTCATGCAATAGGTGTGTCGGAGGGAGTGACGCTGCTGGAGTTCGAGGGAGCCAACCAGGAGGAGGAACCCGAGGTGTAGGAAGCCGACGAAGCAGTCGCCGCGGAGGAATTGCCCGAGTGCCCTGACCACCTGCCTTCCTCGTTCTTGAAAGGCAAGCCCCGAAGCATATTAAGCCTCCCATGTTTTTACAAATACTTTGCGTACCTTTTATTGTTGATGATGCATTAAGTTTAGGAATTGGTTGGAACCAATTGCTGCATTATACATCCTTCCTTGTCCAGATATCGCACTGGAATCCTATTTAAGTTCAGGAACGGGTTAAATGCTTAGCCATGCTTAGTGCGGTAGAAGTCAGGTGATTTCCTATCATCTGTGAGCTTTAGGATGAGGTGGATCATGGTTGGCTATATTTGCTATCGTGGAAAAGAACCATGTGATTAGTGAATTAAGACCAGGCGGAGTCTTGTGTAGGTTTGAACATAGTGACTCCGTCTGAGTCG